CAGCAGGAAGGGTTTTTCCTAGAGAGAGAGTTACGACAAGATAGAAACCTGAGATGTTAAGGGAGCCCTGGAAACATGCCTGGGCAGGAGGAAGGCCAACTCTGTTTCCCACGATCCAGATGGGTCTCCCGTGGCATCCAGCCAGGCGTTGGGAGCAGAGAGCCCAATTCCAAACCGTCTTTCTCTGGGATTTCCTCAAAGTGTGGAGGACACAAAAGCCACTGGCCCCAGGTGCCACCCCTGCAAACGGCTTGGGTGAGGCTGGTCTGGGCAGCGGGGAACCAGGGCCTGGGGGTGCTTCTCTCTTTCCCATCCTGTCCCATTTCTCTGTGCCCCATGTGTACTGCAGAGGCAGGCACTTCTGTGGGTCTCTGGGCAGCTGAAGGGAAGCCTTGGGTGTGGAGAGGAAGCAGGAGGAACAGATTTTAAGTGTGGGGAGCAGCTCGGGCTGGACTGGAGCCCTTGGAGGTCTAGGAACCCCTGAAACTCAAGCTGTGACAACTGCCCCTAAACTGGAGGACAGGATCTCGTAGCAGGTATGCCCAGTGTCCATCCAAGAACTAACATACAAGATGTGGATGTTTGGCAAATGTCCTTTCCCCTCAGCAGCCATTCTAAATGGAGATGTTTTTCCTCCCAGTGGCAGCCCTGGTCCCTTTACGAGGCACTTGTTCCATGAGAAGGGAAATTTAATTGGGGTTATAAAAACAAAGCCCTTTGTAGCTCCCCACAAGTCTGTGGAGGCCATGAGACTCTTGGCTACGAGGGATGACCTGACAATAAGGCAGCTGCCTCTGCCTGTGTGACCACCATCAGCACCTCATGCTGGCTGCAGGCTTGAGAAGGCTTCCAGTGGCCTCAGGGCAGAGGCTGGGCCCTCAGAGGAGAATGGGGCTTTGTCCCACCATCCCCAAAGGGGACTTCTGGGTTCAGACACTCCAAGAGGTGAAGAGGTCAAAGGTCAACAGCCTAGACAGTGGCAGCAAAAAACAGGCCAGTGTGGTGGGTGGATTTCCACCAGCAGCTCCCTTCCCCCTCCCGGTCACCCCACTGGGGAACAGGCCTGTGGGTGTACATGCACACCCACTGGCCTGGCTTCCTGGCAGAAACTTCTAAGATGACAAAAAGGCATCAACAGTATACTTTTCCATTCGTCCCCTTGAGCAGGCCCTTTCTGTTCTAGAAGCTTCCACGCCAGCGAAGAGCAGCGTAGCTGAAAACTATTTTTCTTGCTGAAACTATCACAATCTGACCTTTCCCCAAAGACCTGGCACCGACTGGGAAGCCATGACCTCTGCCCACCACCCCCTGCTGCCCCACGGCCCTGTCTCTCTCAGTGGCCAGGAGACCTTGGCTGTTCCTTGATTGGACCAGGTGAGCCAGGTGGCACCAAGCCCAGTCCACCAACTGGAATTGCTGCTTCTTCCCACCTTTCTTTCTATCCACTCCATCTTATTTCTTTTTCGAGCTACGTACTCATATGCAGACCACCGACCTCCTTTTTGGTGGGAAGGGGGGCGCCAAAGGGGCTTAGAGAAGAATAAAGTTATAAGGTGCAGAGGCTCTGGCACCTTAAAGGAGATGCCATCACCCGACGCCCAGATCACTGTCTCTGCCCCCATCCCCCATCTCAGTACCCTCCACAGGACTCACCAGAGAGAGGCCCCCTCCACTTTCCTATGAGTCCACCCCCAGCATCACTTCACACCTTTCCCCCACCAGCCTTCCCACCACATCCCTCAGCCCATCCTTCCACCATTAACACTCACTGCACCCACCCCTTCTGGCATTGCTCACCTCCGTACATGCCAAGCCGCACCCACTTCACAGGCTCATCCCTTTCCCTATTCTGTGCCCCCGACAACCCAGACTCTGAAATGACAAGGCAGAAGGAATGAGACTTGGCCCCCCTCTTCTCACACAAGGACATTTTTTTCTGGGACCCAACAAATGCAGACAGATATACCACGGATTGAATGGCTGAGTTTGCCCCAAAGAAAAAGATAAAAAGTAATTAAAACAGGAAAATTTAAAAGCTGGCAGGGAGCGAGTGAAATGTTTAATGGCTATCTGATTAAACAAAAATGAGCTATGTGCTCTGCATCATGAACAAGGACAGGGTTCTGGTTTGACTTGATGAGGAAATCTAAAACCATGGCAGGAACACAAAAATGACACACACACACTCGACAATGATCAGACAATAAATTATATCTCTAAGTTGCTAAACCACATGGTGCTTTAAACAGAGAAGAGAAGGGAGGACAAAAGAAAGATGAAAATACAGAGTTTGGGGATGGTGTGTCTGGGTTCTGCGGGCACCCAGCTAAGCTCAAACCTGGCTCACTTCCAGTCTTCCCTCCCTACTCCAGCTTGCCTAGGTCCATTTCCTCCTCAGAGCCCCACAGATCAGACCTTTAGAGAACAGAGCTAGTTAGAGCTAGATGCCATTCTTAATAAGACCTCTGGGGGACCCCCTGGCCTTGAGCCCCCCGGCATTCAAAAGAGCCACAACCTCTGCTCACAGAAGCCAGCTGAGCGAGTAGATGCCATGACATCCTATGCTCCAGACTTCTCAGGAGACTGCAAACTCGGACCAGGGAGGTGGAGGGGGCATTTCTGGCAGAGGGAGGGCTGGCATGGAGAGGGGAGCTAGGTTCTGATCATTTTACCCTGCGGGCCATGGTACACACCCACCATATGCTGACCCCACGTCACCATATGCCATATGCTGACCCCATGTCACCCATCTGTGCCCACATTTCCCCTCCAGAGAAAGCCCAGGACTCAGGAAATGCATTTCACTCAGAAACCTATCAACCTGGTCTCCAAGCGACACAGCAGCTCAACGGAGGCAGCAACCACCGGAGGGAAAGAGGGTGAATGTTGAAGAAAACAAAACAAAACAAAAATCTCAGCTGTTTTCAAAAGAGCTGCATGCTGGGAAGCACCAACATGATCCAACACAGCATCAGGCTACAGCACGCTTCACACTTAGTGAAGCGATAGAACTGCGCGTTCTCCAAAAAAAATAGAATACTTCCAAAACGTGTGTTTCCTCACGGTTGCTTCTGCCACCCCCTCTCTCTGATGGGTGTCAGGGTCCAGCTGAATTTAGTTGCCTCCTGGGAGATGTCACTCTCAACCCTGCTGGTAAGTTCAAAGTCACCAGGGAGTGAGATAAAAATTTACCAGGGAGTGAGATAAAAATTTACCGAGTCCTAGGCGCATCCAAAAACCAACTACACGAAGCCTGCTGGCTGCCCCACCGCTCTCCTGCTCAAATACACCAGCACACATGGAGCTCAGCCCCCAGACTCCATTTTGGCCCTCTCCCCTTAAGGAAAACAAGCACCAAGACTGAAAATCCAGGTCAGATGTGGGGTAGGTTTGCAGCTGCTATGCATTTTTACATATTAAAAAAAAAAAAAAAAAGTCATGTGCATGTTGAAATGAGAGTCTGCTTTCCCACCGGCAGCCCGGCCCCAGTGGCCCCATGGGTACAGCTCACAGCTCGGTCGTTGAAAGGATCAGCCAACCCTTTCAGTCTCCTGGGGCATCGGCCACGCCCCCCCGCTCCCCGTGGTCTGGCCATGGGCCCGGTGCCACAACCCCCGAGCAAGGGGACCTCAGTGTCACCCCCAAAACAAAGATGTAGGTCCAGTGTTCAGGGCAGGAGGCTGAAGGCGCTGCACCCCAGGAAAAAGAAAAGACACTTCTGTGTTTGGCTAAAGCCTGCGTTTTAACCAAAGGGAATATAAATTACTCTGTGCCCAAACTAGCACTATTGTTTTTAAAAAGAGAATAAGAAAGAAGAAAAAAAGCCATGGCACATCCCAAGGAGGCCCTTGCCGGGGCTGTCCAGGCTGCTGGGACATGGATCAAGGTAGAGAGCCTCCATGAGGCTTTTACATTTGGGAAGAAACAGTCACGGACGGAGGGAACTCTGGAATCCCTCCACCACAGACTTAGAATGGCAGGTAGCCCCAGCCATGGGATCACGGAATAGAGACACCTGATCGGGGTTCTCTGCAGAAATCAGGACCTCCCGGCTTCCCGGCTGCCACAGCTGTATCCCCAGATGCAAAGAGAAATAGAGAAAAAAATCTTCACTGCGGCCTTCAAATCAACCAGTGCTTTTGCAGAGAAAAAGGGAGAGGAGGTGTGTAAGTTGGCATATTTGATCCAAAACAGATCCCCAGCTGATGGGCTCGTCCTTCCCGGTCAGGCCCCGGAGGGCGGACGTCTCTCTCAGGGTCCCTGGCAGAATGAGGTCTTGGGAGGCCTGAGCAGCAATCAGTGTTTGTGGCAACAGTTGAGTTTGCCTTCTGACTGCTCTAGGACGTCCAGCATCTCCTCGATGATGGCCTGAAGTGCCCGGCCCAGCTGGTCTGCATTGTACGGCTTGCCCAGAGGGGGCACGTGAACAAAGGCTGAGCGGCCGTGACTCTGGTACAGAGAGGTATAGTAGGCGAAGTCGCAGAGGTACCTAAGCCACAGGGCGTGGGGGATGGGAAGGAGACCAAATGGGGTCAGAGAGTGAATGTTCCATTGAAATCCATCATAAGACACGCCCCCCCC